ACATGCATGGAATTGATTTAGTAAAATATAATTTATTTTTTGCAAAACAAAACGTTACTACGTTTCATTATTCCCTTTTCATCTCCCAGCCTCGTTTCTCCCTCTCCACTTTCTCTCCTTTCTCCCTTTCTTTCTAACACTATAAACCCTAGACCCACAAACCCCAAATTGGCAACGACTACCAAACCTAACCCTAAATCCCTCAATTCAATCCCCTAACCATTATTTAATTAGACAATCGCAAGACCATGAATTTATGTTTTATGTACCTTCTCTGTTAATCTGTCTATCCTCTTTGCCCCTGATTTGATCATTGATTCCCTCTCTTTGTTTTTTCAGGTTCGATGGTAGTGGTGATGATGTTTAAGGCGGCGGATGAAGGTGGCGGATCTGATTGGGCAGTGCCTCTGTTTCGATCGTTGGTGGCAAAGGGGTGGTGGTGCAAGATGAACGGCGGATGGTCGCGTTGGAGAAGCAGTGGCGCGGTCTAGGTTAGAGGAAGAACTTCCTCTGTTTCTTACTGTAAAAGAAAATTATTTCTGTCTATTTTTCTCCGCCCCTTTTTCTATTTTCAATTGCTTGTTCTTATAGAAATTTCAGAAATGAGCGAATTAGGAATTTAATCAATTTGTCTGCAATTTTAATTTTTGTTTAATTAGGGTTTTCGAATTTTTAGGAATGTTTTTAAAATTTATCTGTAATTGAGTTTTGTATTGATTTTCTGTTTTCTGAAATTGAATTTGTTTCCAGTTTAGTGAAAATTGCTTCTGCGTTTACGTTTATGTTTTTGATTTAGTATTAAGCTATCTGACCTGAAAAGGAATGAAAGTGTATTTTCCTTTTTTAATTTGCACAGTATATGAAGCAAAACAAGCGTTAATCTCTACCGTAGATGTTTTTTTGAAAACAAATATTTTTTTAGACTATTCTTGATTTTGGATTGGGTCTATTACAATGAGTGGTGTTTTAATGATAATAAAACACCTTAATGAGCCACATCGTTTTGGGCGTGGTGGTTCAATAATATAAGGCCCAACACTTTCCCCTTTTTTTTAATCAACAAACAAACAAAAAACCTTGGTTAAGCCCATAATCACGTTTTAAATATAATGATTAATAATAGGTTTGAAAATAATAGAAAGAGTTATAACCAAAACAAACAAAAAAATTAAAACAAAACCGAAAAGAATTTGGCCAGGTTTGGGCTTTAAACAAACAGATTGCATATGACCTTATTTTTTGAAAGAAAAAACATATCCCACAACTTATTCTAAAACAGATTTTAGTGGGTTGGTCTGAAAATTTTAATAGGCCTTCTTAGAGATTTGTTCATACCTGTTTAAAACAAATGCATCCCTCATTAAGAAACAGACTCTCATTTTAAATCCTAATGGACTATCAGATGTTGATGGTCCATTTTAAATCGATACACTCCTATTTTATGCTTTAACCTCCCCATAAGAATAAAAATTAAATAATATAATTTATTTAAAGGAAACCTAAGCATAAATAAAGGTAGGGTAAATTTAGGGTATGACAAATGGGTGTGACATACCCTGATGGACTTTTCATTTAAAAATCGACATGGATAGATGGATAGTCAGAGATTCATTAATTTATATCAAAAATCCACTAATATATGTATCTCATCCTATGTTGTTGTGTTATTTTTTTCAGTTGAACAAATAATTAGTCCTGATTAATAGGTATGAATTTGACACTGAGGATTCGATAGAGCGTTTATCCACTATGTTGAACACAGTGTTCAATCATTGATATATTAGTTATTCTTATTCTATTTTTGTAAAAATTGTAACCTGATCTACTTTCATATATTTGAATTGATATATCACGTGCCAATTATTTATACCACTAATTATTATTATAGACATGTAACTAGTGCTATTAAATTAAATATTATTAAATGATCTATTTTTTTCTTATTTAAAATTTATTTAATAAAATAAATATTCTAATTAATATATTTTACTTTATTATTGGACTAGTGATCAATATTCAATGTATAGTAATTGAATATTTGAAGGTAGGGAGAAATATGGTGATTCGAGTTTCAACTAAGGATTTTGCATTAAAAAAATTCTCACAGTAAAACTACGAAGTTTTAAAATCAAGAATGATTCTTATTTTCACTAAACAATATATTTCTAACATTAATATTATTTGTTAATTATGTTTGAATAATTGACATAATATTTAGTTTATTTTTAAATTTGATTAATATCTATACAAATATTTATGACATGTATATCTGGAAAAAAAAAAGTCTTATAATATGATTAAATCATCGAACATAAGACTACAAGTTTTTAATAAAATTTAATCAAATAAAATTATATTAATGTTTATTTTAATTTAAACAAAATTTTCCGTCTATATAATGCATAAGATTTTAGTCTTGTAACACACAAGAAAATATAAAGTAAAATCTTATAAAATGATTTCTCAAAGCTATTAATCTTGTTATCCTTTTTTTATGCATTATTTTGATTTTAATTTTAGGTAAAGGAAAGAGTTTGTTCTATATCTCTTTTTATATATTATTATTTTTATGAAACAATTTACGTTTAAATTTGAGAATTTAAAATTTTGAAACCTTAAACTTTATGTTCATAAGGAGAAAACATTAGCTTGAATAGTTAGATTTACATGATTCAAAAAAATGTGAAATCAAAATAATATCGAGTGAAAATTTTGAAAGATATAAAGAAAAAACTTTGTGTGCATTATAATTTTTTTATTTTATTTCAAGATCTGTTATTAGTTTGGACACTCCAGTTAAACTAGATTGTCCTTATAGAAGAAATGGACCACCAGCGACATGCTGCATAGATACTTGTAATTCAAATTGTGGCACATAATGCCTTAGAAAGGGATTTCAAAAAGGTGAACAATGTTGGTTTATGAGTGGTCAAGATAATTGTTGTTTTATTTAAGAAGCTATGTTGTATCAATCCAATCACTTAAAAATAAAAGATGCACCTTAATTTTTGTGACTACTCTCACGTTGTTTAGTTCTGGCTCTATAGTCAGATGTCACGGATTAGAATTATCACGAGATAGATAAGGACATTATATAATTCATACACCACTCTTGATAGTTGACTACAAATGATGTTTGCTCTCTCAGTTATATACTCATTTTATGAATTTTTAGATGGTTCGGGTCTGATGATTGGTATAAGGATAGATCAAATCTAAATTTTATGCTAATAGGAGGTCCATGGGTTTTCATGAGCCGTGTGATTCATATGTGGAAGTATAAGATTGTTGACACTTCATTTTATTTAATAGAATTTTTATTGATCAAATTCATAAACGCCCGAGTCGAGGTTTAAGCAACACCAAAGCATCTCTATAGTCTTGGATAATTAGTTATCCAATTATCAATTGGTGAAACTGCATTGGTATAAGTATATTATTTCAGTATGCAAATCAAACATATGTTATTAGATATATCGCACTATATAGACGATAGTGAAGTGTATAGTCGGGTACTCATTCGTGTGAGATGGGTGTGACATAGCCTAATGGACTTTTCATTTAAAAGTCAACATGATAGAAGGGTAGTCAGAGATTCATCAATTTATATCAGAAACCCACTAATATTTGTATTTCATCCCATGTTGTTGTATTATTTTTTCAGTTGAGCAAGTAGTTAGGCTTGACTAATAGGTATAAACATGGAATCGAGGACTCAATGAAGTGTCTATCTACTACGTTGAAGTCAGTGTTCAATCATTGATGTATTAGTTATTCTTATTCTATTTTTGTAAAAATTATAACCCGATCCACTTCAATATATTTGAATTGATGTATCAAGTACCAATTATTAATACTACTAATTATTATCATAGACATGTAACTAGTTGGTATTAAATTAAATATTATTAAAATCAAATAGTTTGAGTTCTGATGGTAAAAGAGCTCATACTAAGGACGTAATTTGAGAAATACTAGATTCGATTCTTAGGTGTAAACAATGCTTGGTCAGGTTTCATTCTCTTAGGAATTAGAGTGTAAAAGTCAAAAAAAAAAATATTTTTTATTTTAAATTTATTTTATAAAATAAATATTCTATTTAATATATTTTATTTTATTATTGAACTGGTGTGATCAATATTCAATGTATACTAATTAAATATTCAAAGGTAGGGAGAAATATGGTGACCCGAATTTCTATTTAGGATTTTCTATATAAAATTCTCAGTTAAACCACGAAGTTTTAAAATCAAGGATGATTCTTATTCCCATTAAATAATTTATTTCTACCATTAATATTATTTGTTAATTATATTTGAATAATTGACATGATTTTTAGTTTATTTTAAATTTGTTTAATATTTCTATACAATTATTTATGACATGAAGTCTTATAATATGATAAATCATCAAACATGAGACTACACGTTTTTAATAAAATTTAATCAAATCAAATAATATTAATTTTATTTCCATTTTATACAAAATTTGAAAGAAAAAAATAGGAAGAAAATAGATGGACAAGAGGATTATTTGCCTTAAAAAACTTGGATGTGTCAATTTTTTGAAGACGGGTGTTTTGAATTTTTAGCTAGTTGTTTGTTTTCTTAGATTGATAGAAGATTTTTCCAAAATCATTGTGAGCTGCCAGATCTATATTCAATAGCTTAGATGAACTTATTGTAGTGACTGTAAGGAACTTAGATTGCGAGGAATCGAGGATCTTAGTTCTTCCATGTTGAGCTGCATTGAATGTGTGCAGATTGAAACTCAAACACACATAAATGGCAGTACCTTTTTAATGGCATGTTTGAACTAATAAAACTAGAAAGCTTTTAGCACTTGCATGATGTTAGATGAAGTTTTCCGCTTTCATAATCTACTAGATGAAGTTTTCAGCTTCGGTATTCATTATCTATAGTAAGAAAAAGGACCAAAGATGAGCAGAAACACTTCATTGAATAGGGTAAAACATGTTTAATACAACAAATTTGCACAAACTAAGTTTCTATTGTAAATCTTACCCTACAATGTTTCTTTCTGTTTTCCTGTTTCAAGGAATTGGATTTTTTCAGACATGATTTCAGCGGTGGTCCTATTAGTTTGTTTGATGATGGCTGCATGGGATATGAACACTTGAGATCTCTTCGTCTGTGCTCAAAAGGATCAAGCCAAAACCGGACATTAGGCTCACCAAACCAGACCTTCCTTTTGGCATAGTGATATGCAGCAACTGCGTCACTTTCTTTGAAAAAAAACACCTGAGCTGAGCCATACTGCCAAGAGACTCTTGTGCTTGAAGAATCTACTGAGCCAAATACACTAAAATTCTTTATTAGCTCTTCTTTCGACGGTAGGTAGAAATTCTTGGGGAACTTTATGTGCAAAGATTTAGAACATAAGGGAACATGTGGTTTTGATTGCTGTCCAGCTTTCAATGTTGAACAAGAAGCAATATAGTGATAAGAATCTTTACTCTCTACCAAACAATCCCCAGAAGATGATTTTATTCTCACTGACCCTTTTGACTTAAGAGGTATTATATCACCATTGCGAATTCTTTGCGGCCTCTCCTGGTAAACAGAGGAGTTAGATCCCAACACGAAGTTAACTTTCACTGCATTAGCATCAACCTCACTGTTATCAGATTGGAAGTCAAACACCAAGTTGGATGATGATTCACGGGTAAAAGACTGCTGTAAGGTCAAACTTTGACTTCTTTTCATATCAAGTTCCTGATCCTTATCAGTGAAATTTATGTTAGTTTCACCAAAGTGTATGCGGGCCTGATCGTCTATTTGGACACTTTGTTCTGGTTCAAGCATCTTGATGTGTGAGATCCTAGGTCTAACTCTGCCAGTTTGCAGAAAAACATGACATAAATCATGTTCATCTAGTCGCTTTCTTTTCCTGTTGAGGCTTATAGTGATTTCTGCTTCTTGCAATCTAGAGCAAAGCCTTGGTACATCGTCTTTTCCTTTACTGATAAAACTGATCAAGTGAGTCTTAAAGTTTGAAGAAATAGAAAAGTGAGCTTCCCTCATTCTAGAACAGTTTGCAAAGCACATATCAACTAGGCCATTTGGTAATATACTTTTAAAACTCAGAAGGTTTGGCCTTTCCAACTTTAGATTCTTTCCCCAAATGTGCAGTGGGATTAAGGCAGTAGAATGCATAAAGAGTTCAGCATTACCACTATATCCTTCCAAATCAAGAACTGTTGCGTTCAATCTTCTTATAGCACCAATGGTCGAGTTTTCCTCCCCTTGCTTTGATATGACCTGAGATTTTCCTTTGGGTTCTAAAGCCGTAGATTTCCAAGTAACTAAGTGTACCTTCTGACTCAAAGAGGAACATCGATGCAGCTTCACATTATCACCTAATGATAAAAAATAGTTAACAGGTAAAATCAATATATACCTTGTGTAGTTCAATAAATTGGATACTCAATAACAATATACAACAATAAAAGCCTGTTTCCACAAGAACAGGACAGCATTGTTATTTTATCAGAAATTTCTAACATCAAGATACTATTCAACATAGAATGGGACTAGAAGCTTAGGCATGTCAAGAAAATGGTAAATATTGACTAAATGAAATCATGTAGTATAATACTTTTCCATTTCAAATTATGGATGATCACCACAAGCATGGCTATCAAACACCCGAGTGGACTAGCAAACTCGTCCGTGTTATGTTTCTAGGTAGGAAAATCTAGTTGAATCACGTATAAAATCATTTGGAGAAAACTCGTTGAAATTGTGTAGACTCATTCAAACCCATGCTAATGTAAGCAAGTTTAATAAAAAGAAAATTTGGGTTCAAAGAATAGTTAAACAACATTTTGCCATATGGCTTCTAAATTTTTGCTACATCTCAATGCTTCCCGGACAACCAAATCTGCCCGTCCTTCTTCCCACCCCACTAGCGAAGACAGTCTATTATTCACACTTTTACACAGCAATGACCCGGTCACTCACCGTCGAAATTCTAGAATGCAGCACATGAGCTCACCACTACATTGCGACAATGATAACAAGAAATAGTATCATGTATTTAAACTCATTGCATGTATTTTTCATCCGCATTTTATTTTGTTTATTCGCATTTTACTCTCTTTTTGTTGTTTTGCAGTTGCTTGGATCATTGGTCGCAAATTCAGAGCTAAATCGGAGAAAGAGGGGAAAAAGAGCTAAAGTTCAGCAAACATGTCAGTTTCTGTCTCTCAGACTGAATGGCGTTCGCAATTATCCCCCCTACCACGTAATTAATGAGTTGAAGCAATGGCGACCGCCATTGCCCCAACGGCGATCGCCATTCAGTCGCAGTGCAGTTTTTCAGTTTTTGAAGGAGCGGTTAACTACACTTTTGGAATTTTGAATCTTCCCTCCTGTTTAACCGCGCCCAGAAGCAGTTGGAGGCTCCTTTCCTCTATATATAGGGCCTCTTAGTCAATTTCCGGTATCCAAGTTTCGCGCGGAAGCTCTGTCAATTTAGTTCCAAGCACAAAAATTACTTGTAAAAGTGACAATAACTCACATTGAGGGATTGTCGCACTCTTTTCATTTTTCTGCTATCATTTGTACTCTTGGATCAGAACAAGCCTGCCGGCATTTTAATTCCAGTTTCGTTTACGTTTCGCTTACAGGTTTTCATTCTTATAGTTCTTATTTATATCTGTTTTTCAAATTAACAGTATTGTTCTTAAACTGTTGTTATTGAAAATTAGCATTAACATGCTCGCATCTACTTCTATAACCCATGATATGTTAGATTTAAGATTTATAATGTTTGGCTAAATTTATCTGAGACCGCTGTATGAGGATCGTTGTTACTGACGGAACTCTGTAAAAAGCATAGGTGCGATAATTCCGGTCTTACTTGATTTTGGTTTATGTTTCTAATTCTGAAAGTTTATTATTTCGTCATGAGAATGAGAAATATACCAAAGTGCGACCAATAGAGCGAGAGTTTGAGGTACGCACTAGATAGTAGAAACTAAGCGTCAATCCTAAAAACAGCGAGAGCGCTTTAGGCATCGTTTAAGTTTTACCGATTTCCAAAACACACTTTTTAATTATCGAGTGAGCGAGAGCAATATCTTGGGGTCATTTGGCACGGCTCTTGTCAATAGCGCGAGAGTGTGAGACGGAGTCTTTAAATCAGTATTTCTTACAAAATCGAGTTGTGGTCCTAATTAGTACCTTTATTCTACAAGTCCTTTAGGCACGCGGAATCCATACTCCGGACTCATTTTATCAGTATTCCTAACCTTAAGCAATTTCACTTCCTACTTTCGTTCTTAACATTTCAAATCCCTCTAGCCTTAGTTGTGCCTTGTAATATAGATAACATTAGTTTGATTATTAGTCTCTGTGGGTTCGATAATTTTTTAAAACTACGCGATAGACTATACACTTGCAGTTACACATTTCGACAAATATATAAAGTCGCGATCAAACAATAATCTACCTCCAACTTTGTTATGTGCTCAGGTAATCAATACACCTTAAAACAAGGTAAATTTTCTCAAAATTAAGTTTTCTCCAAGTAAAGAATCAGAATTTGACTCTGTCCACTTTTTTAAGGTGACTAACTCATGAACCACTTATTCTTATCACTTGAAACAAAATCACATGTTGCTAACCCCTTATCATGCTTCTATGTATTTCTCCATAAATTTCATGTTTATATATAAATTCTACATTCTTCTCCACAAATTTCTACTAGACAAACTCTACAATAATTACCCCAATTATCTCTTTCATAATTGCAATCAAAACATTTCTTATCTTATGTAACAACTACTAGGTTGCAATATCTGCCAAAATCTCGATCAAAACTCTCAACCCGGAAAAAAGAAAAGGGATGATATTTATCTATATATAGCAAGACACTTTTGATCAAATGTGTATTGCCACCAACACATGTGATTATACTCAATTATCTGTACGTTTGCCTTCAAAATTGGAGCGCTTAAAATTGATTCTTAGATGTGTAAAATTGATTTTGACATGGTTGATTGCTCTCAAGTAGAATTAACTCTACTTTTCATAATTGATTCTAATTGATTTTTACACTGAAATTTACTATTCAATTCACTTTTGAATAATTTATCCAACCATAAGTCACTTTACCTTCAACTCACTTTTAGTTATAATCAATTTTACTGAATCAATTCACTAAAAATCAAAATTTTCAGGCAAGTTTGTAATCTGTCTCAATTTGGTACTGTTGTTGCATTTTATTCTGCCAGGTAAACTACTGCATAGAAAATCATCAAAATTATAAACTTTTCAACAATCAAATTAGGAAGAAAAAAAATAAAAAATACCTAATTTTCGATTTTCTTGGTAGACTTTCTTTTGCTGAAAGGAAGAATAACGCCGAAAAGCATGAACATTCGCAACCAATTTAACGGCATCAACAACACGGGAACCTTCAACCGAAGGAAAAACAGCAGCGTCCAAAACAAAACCCAAAACCCTAATCGGTTCAAACCGGTTAAAACCCCTCTTCTCTTGGTGATGACCTGTTATACAGCGACAGGTTAAACTGGAAACGATTCTGAGACCGAATAACCTAAGCGCGGAGCGAAACGCGTCGTTTTGGGGAGAAAGGGGGGTGATAAAGGGGAAGGGTTGGTCGAAGGGGAGGAGTTCGGATTCGAGGAAGAAAGTGCGTGTGGGGATGGGGGTGGGAGGGTTGTTGAAGAAGGAGAGGGAGATGGCGAGGTCGGTGGAGGATGTGACGAGTGCCGGAGACCAGTTGGTGGTGGTGGTGGTGTGAGGGGAGTGGATCGTTGGCCTTGCCCATACTATGTCGCCGGTTCTGAACTTTCTGCTCATCATGATTTCTTTCTTTTTGGTTCAACTTCACGACTTGGGAAATGTTGTGTATCAAAAAAGTGTCTTGTTTTCCCGCGCAACTCAAAATTAATAATAACAATTCAATTTTATCAATTAAATATCTTTACCATCCTCCTAAATATTTTGTATTTAAAAAAAATTCTTTAAAGAAAAGTCATCATAAAATTTGCATCCATATTTTTTGTTTCTCTTACAACTTTGAGACAAAATTAACGAAGGTTTTAGCGATTATTTACTAATTATTGATTGTTTTAGTAGAAGGAACCAAAAATGTGTATCAAAGTTATTAAGAGAATCATTCTTTGAAGAAAATATTTTAAATAACTAAAATTAAAATATGAAATATTTAAGAGAACCGTTAATGACTAAAATCTATAAAAGTGAAAACTTTGAGTTCTTTTTAATAAGGTTAATATAAATAAAAAGAAGCATTACACAAAAATGAGATGGAGACTATACCAAAACCCTCTCAAGAAGAAACAAATCTAAAAAAAAAAGAAAACCAAATTTATTCTTTACAAAATATATCCTTAGAAATAAAGGTACAGAGGTAAAACGAGTATTATCAGTCAAAGTTAAATTGAGATTGGCAAGGGCATTTGCACAATTGTTTTCTTCTCTAAAAGTGTGAGAAACTACAAAATTTCAATTTGAGACTAAATTTATACAATTAATCCATCTATTTCTAATCATCCAAGGCACTATAAATGAGGATTGAACGCTTTAACCACTAGCGTCGAATTCATTTTCAACCAAACATTATGCCAATTTCTCTCATGATCGGACTCAATTGCTAACATAACACTCGAGAGTTCGGCAATGAAAGAATTTGAAACACCTAAACAAGAAGCAGAAGCTCCCAAAAAACAGTTGCCTTTGTCTATAGCAATGCCACCGCGGACAAATATTTCCGAAGGGTAAATGGAAGCACCATCACAATTCAATTTTATTCAATTCCTATGAGGGGGCTGCCAAATAACCTCAATAATATTTGGAGCTCTCGGAGACCGAATAGTAACCTTAAATCTCTTTAGAATCATAAATCATGAATGCTAAGATGAGAAATAGGAGGTAAGAAATTAAATCTAACCATGTTTCGAGCTTTCTAGATCGAGTTGGAAATGTGAATGATTGCCACATTAGAAGTAACCTTGCATTGATTTGAACCTGCTTTGCCAAAAATACTCCAAATGTTCGACCAACCATAAATGGGGAATTTAAATTTAGCATGTTCTTCAACCAACTCCAAAGATTTGTAGCATACTAATAATAAAAAAACATGTGATTTTATGTTTCCTCTGTCATACCACAAAGATCACATCTAGAAGAGAACAAGAAACTCATTATTTTCCATTGATCATCCATAGGCAGCTTATTATGAATAAGTTGCCACACCATAAAATAACTTGGCGGAGGAATCGACTTGGACTAAATCCAACTCCACCACTCTTTTCTAATCTATGTGTGTCGTTTAAAGTCATAAGTAATCTTAAGGGATAAATCGCCATTAGGGGAAAGGTTCCAAAATCTCTTGTCCAGACAAATATTGAAAGGAATGTGACAATTACTAATACGCACCTGAACAGAGAGGGGAATATGTGTGGAAGACTTAGAAAAATCCCAAATACCATTGACAATAATATTGTTGACCATGTGATCTTCAACTAGGTTTGGAGCTTCGACATCGAGGAAAAAAGGAGAGCCACACCAATTATTGAACCATAAACTAAAGGAGCTCCCATTTCCAAGACACCAAGAAGAATTCTCAATAACATTATTCATATCCTGCTTAGCACTAGACCAAATGGAAGAGAAAACATGGTGACTTATGAACTTTTTTAATTCTAGTAACTTTTTGTCTAATAAGTTAAGCCTAACTTTTAGAAGAGTTAAAAAGATCTCAAGTAAGCTTTAAATTTGAACCTTCGTTTTACTTGACTATCGATCTAATCCATATCCCACCTTCCTCTAGAGGCTTACATATATTAATCCATGCCACTATAACAATCTTTTTATTCGAGATTTCCCCACTCCAAATGAATCTCTTCACCGTCTGCTCAAGATCACGAATAATAGATATCGTCCATGCATAAATGGTCGTGATATGTGTTAGCATCCCTTTGATAATGGACTTAACCAACTCCACTCTACTTGCATACAATAACAACAAACATTTCCAGGAAGCCATCTTATTAATAAATTTATCGGATATAGGTTGCAAGAACATATTCTTCTGTTTGCCTTTGAAAAGAGGAACACTAAGATAATTGAAAGGAGTAGACCCTTCAGTGAAACTAGAAAAATAAACAACGATATTAAGACGAGAGGGTTATATGGCACCTCCAAAGATGAAAGATGTATTGCAGTTGACCATTTTCCCTGAAATAGTGGTGAAGTCTTTGAAGGTAAAGATGAGGTTTTTAATGTTAGAAATTTTACCTTTGCATTATATGAAGACATCATCCGCATAAAGAATATGAGAGGGAACTAAGATATTCCTAGGCCCGATAATAAGATCATGCTTGTGAGAGGACATTAACTGAAGAATCTTTTTACTCATAACATCTTCAACTAGACAAAACAATAACAGAGAAAGTGGATCGCCTTGTCAGTCTCCTCGAGAGCAGCTAAAGTAACCATGCATAACACCGTTGATATTTATGAATTGGTGCACCATATAGAGAATGTTGTGGATCCACAAACAAAATATATTGTTGAAACTGAAATTTTGAAGAACTTTCAACAGAAATTTCCAGTTGAAGGTATCAAAAGCCTTTTTAATATCCATCTTGAGGGCCAAGTTTCTGCACCAAGCTTTAGAGTCCAGCAAATTAATTGCTTCTGAAACTAAACTAATACAGTCATGAATATGTCTCCCATGAATGAACCCTCATTGATCTTGAGTAACCAAACTCAGCATTATAGGAGCTATTTTGTCTACTATTATCTTAGAAATAAGCTTAAACTTGAAATTTGAAATAGCAATGGGACAGAATTGATCCAAAGCATCAACACCCTTAATATTTGGAATAAACACCATTGTGTTAGAGTTGAAACTAGGAAGAATCCAATTAGAATGAAAGAATTCCATAATTGTATTCAAGACATCCTCCTTTATGATATCCCAGTAAGACTAATAAAAACGGTTTGTTGTTGCAGTATTAGCAATCAAAAGTGTAAGTATTTATTTTTTCGTATCCACATGGACCGGTGCAATATCAATGGCGTTCAACATTTACTATGATTTTAAGCAGAAGTTTGTAAGATGGTTGAAAGTTTTAAGTTACAGAATGTAAAACAGAAGAATGAAAAATATAGAGAGTTTCAGATATATGAGAACTTGTCAGGATTGAATTTCATCCACCGATAGAATATGTATTTTACCAATCAGTTATACACAATCCAAACATTCATCAATATTATCATGTATCGATCATAATAGAGTTTATGTATACACTTATGATGAGGTTTCAACCTTATTATTTAATCAATGATCTCTCAGTCTATTTAACAATATGACAATATTAAGAATCGATACTCTCTGTGAATGTTAGGCTAAATATATGTCTAGAGTTTAGAATCTAATAGATGTTCATCTTAGATTAAGATAAGAACCGTATTTCTCAATATAAATTCAAATATATAAAGTTAAATAGTGATACAAAGATAACATCGATATCAATTAGTAAATAGGTCGTATATAACGCCATGGTCAATAAACTAATCTAGCATGTGAACATAGTTATTAACTACTATTATCATGTATCACTCTTCGACATTGGTTATGTCTAACACATAATCTGAGTTTTATTGTATTGTTTAATTGATAATCTCTCTACCTTTTAAGCAATACAATAACATTAAGACATGATACAAGCGAATATCAAACCTCAAATTTATGTCTAGAGTTTGGTATTTGATAGATGGTAATCTTATGTCAAGACTTGAAAGATATTTCTCAATAATGATTCAAGCCATAAAAATAACATGAAAACAAAGATAACATCAATATAGAATTATAACTAGTTCACAATACAAAGATCAAAAGAAATACATACTATTACGGTGAACTACATCCAATCCCAACAAGAAAGGGGTTTAGCTACTCATGGTAGCTTGATACAAAGAGAAGAATAAAGATGAACATGCATCAATCATGATTTTACGATGATTGATGTGAGCATAGCTCCTAATCTTCAAGAAGAACCCTCTCCTGTTGTTTTCTAAGTTTCTCTCTATCCAAAATGTAATCTCTGGTTCAAAATATCAACTGAGTGCTATTTATAGAAAACAAAAAGTTGCAGTTTATGCTAATCCCAGAACTTGGCGCTTAGCCCAAAATCCTGAAAAACACATTAAACCGCCTTAAGTGGCACTTAGTCCTAGATTTGGCGCTAAGCGCATAACTCTCTGCCCCAACACCTCTAAGCGTGCTAAAAGGGCGCTAAGCGCGGCGGGCTTAGCACGGAATTTTGGACTTAGTCCCACCTACAACATTTTGCATTTTTTTTCCAAAAATGCATGTTAAAGCCATTTCTTTTGCCTTTTGATGACCAAAGCTCCTCCAATGCCCACAAAACTACAAAATGAAGTGTAAAATATCAAACTAAACAATATTTAAATAAAATTAGAAGTATTGACTTGTGAATCCAATGAATCAAGCTAATAAGTGTCACTTTTTCATGCATAAATTCACCACAGTTTGGCACTTATCACTGCCCCCAAACCGTCTGGACCCGACGCATTATCTTTACTGGGAGAAAAATAGCAGCAGAAATTTCATCTAAATAGAGTAGCATAGTGGGGGTCGCATTCTCGTTGTCGTCAACCAGAGAAGGAATGGATTCATCCACCAAGATCAGATCCTGCAAAATAATAGAGTTAGTGGAAAACAAAGTTTTAAAATAGTTCACAGTGCAATCAGCTATCTCTTTAGGGCCAATAAGCATCTTATCCTCATGCCTGAGCATAGAAATGGGCTT